GCCTGGCCCGGCCCGGCCGGAGCACCGGCGCGTCCACCCTGCGGGAGACGGGTACCTGCTCCCCGGGAGCGGCAGCGGGCGGGTGGGAAGGACTGAGCGGAAACGAATCGAGGGTTGGTTCCGAGGAGAAGCGCTCCCGGGCTCCCCCTCTCCCCTGAATCACAGAATCACAAACTGGTTGAGGTTGGCGGGGACCTCTGGAGGTCATCTGGTCCAACCCCCTGCCCAAGCAGGACCACCTAGAGCCAGTTGCCCAGGGCTGTGTCTAGACAGCTCTTGAATATCCCCAAGCGTGAAGACTTCACAACTCTCTGGACAACCTGTGCCAGTGCTCAGTCACTCGCCCAGTAAAAAAGTGTTTCCTGATGTTCAGATGGAACCTCCCGTGTTTCAGTTTGTGCACATTGCCTCTTGTCCTGTCACTGGGACCCACTGAGTAAAGTCTGGATCCATCTTCTTCATTCCATCCCTTCAGCTATTTATACACACTGATGAGATCCCCCTGAGCCTTCTCTACTGCGGGCTAAACAATCCCAGCTCTCTCAGCCTTTCCTCATAGGAGAGATGCTCCAGTCCCTTAGTCATCTTTGTGGCCCTTCACTGGACTCTCTCCAGTATCTCTGGGTGTCTCTCATACTGGGGAGCCCAGAGGCGGACACGGTACTCCAGGTGTGGCCTCACCAGTCCTGAGCAGAGGGGAAGGGTCATCTCCCTTGTCCTGCTGGTGACACTCCTGCTAATATAGCCCAGCATACCGGTAGCCTTCTTTGCCACAAGGGCACATTGCTGGCTCATGTTCACCCTGGTGTCCACCATGGCGTCCAAGTCCTTTTCTGCAAAGCTGCTTTCAGCCGGTCACCCCCCAGCATGTACTGGTGCATGGGGTTGTTCCTCCCCAAGTGCAGGACTCTGCACTTCCCCTTGTTGAACTTCTTGATACTCCTGTCAGACCATCCTCCAGCTTGTCAGGTCCATATGGATGGCAGCATGACCCTCTGGTGTATCAACCATTCCTCCCAGTTTTGCACCCTGTGTCAATATTTCCCTAGCATACTCATTTCTGCTGCAATAATTTATTTATTTTTAAAGGGCCCCCTTCAACTAGAGACTCAATACACTACATGGTGACCCATCTCCTTTGAAACAGCACTAGTGCCATAAAGAGAGAGTTCCTCCATAGAATCATAAAATGGTTTGGGTTGGAAGGGACCTTAAAGATCATCAAGTCCCAACCCCCCTGCCATGGGCAGGGACACCTTCCACTAGAGCAGGTTGCTCAAAGCCCCATCCAACCTGGCCTTGAACACTTCCAGGAATGGGGCATCCACAGCCTCTCTGGGCAACCTGTTCCAGTGCCTCACCACCCTCACAGT